AGCTGGGGGTCCCTTCTCGTCTGACGCTTCCTCTGAGCTGGGCTAGAGTCTCTCCCTCCCTACAAATTCCATCTCTTCCCGCCCCAGCTCCCAATTCCAAACCCATTTCACTGCAAAACCAAACCAACCAACCAACCAAAAAAATGAGAGAAAGCGATCAGGGGGCCGGGTCCTCGGCGGGGAAATCCGAGGCCTGCGAGCTCTCCCATCGCCCAGCCCCCCGGGCGGGAGGAGGTAGCGATAATAGTAATAATATTCCCCTCCGAGCTGTGAAGGCGGGAGCGCAGGGCGCGGCCTGTGGCTCCTGCAGAACCCGGGGCGGCAGGCTGTGCCCGCTGAGCCTCGCGGCGGGCGGGGTGCACGCTCTCCACTGCTCCCGTCTTGTTTTCTCGGCGACCCAGGCCTGCTCCCCAAGCCCACCGAGGATGCTGTGCCAACACGTGTGCCAGTTCGGGCAGAAGCTGGTTCGCAGGAGGCCCCTGGAGCTGAAGGAGGGCCCTGCCAGCGGCCTGGCCCGTTGTCTCAGCGCCCTGGATCTGGTGGCCTTCGGAGTGGGCAGCACCCTGGGCGCAGGCGTGTACATCCTGGCTGGGGAGGTGGCCAGGGACAAGGCTGGCCCGGCGATTGTCCTCTGCTTCTTGGTGGCTGCCGTGACTTCCGTGCTGTCTGGGCTCTGCTATGCGGAGTTCGGGGCCCGGGTGCCATGCTCCGGGTCCGCGTATCTCTACAGCTACGTCACGGTGGGACAACTGTGCGCCTTCATCAGCGGATGGACGCTCATACTGTCCTATGTCATAGGTGAGGTGGCGGGGCCACTGTTGGGGAGACGGGGGCTTAGGAAAACCGGAGGGGGTGAGGGCGATCTAGATCCTCACTCAAGGACACTTGGTTCTATCACCCACCTTGTGAGGGGAAGTGGGTAACTGTCAGGGGAACCCCCAAGCTTGATTCCACTCAACTCTGTCCTGCCTTCCTTAAACAACTGCTCCAAGAACCAGGGAGAAATGCGAGCTGTGGGAACTGGGGAAGAATTCCTGGGGGTGAGAGAGAGACATGCTCCCCAAGGCCCATCTCCTCAGCACTGGGAGGTCTCTGCTCAGCCGTTGGCTTCCTGAGATTTCCCCTGACCACCCAATTTATAGTGCCAACCCTCATCTCCCAGTCCCCTCCGTCCCAATGCCCCGCTTTCTTTTCTTGCATAACATTGATCTGCTCCTAACATTTTCAATAGTTCCCCTGTTTTGTGAGACATCTGCGTCTGCTCTCCCCACCCCACGAAAATAGGAGAAACTCTGAAGCTCTGGCCTGGTAGCTGAGTTGGTTAGAGCGTTGTTCTGAACACTCCAAGGCTGCAGGTTCCACGTTTCTGTCTGTCTGTCTCTGTCTCTCTCTCCCCCTTCCTCTGTCTAAAATAAATAAATAAAAACAAATTTAAAAAAATTGTTAAGCCCTGACCCGGGTGGCTTAATTGGTTGGAACATCACCGCGTGCACCAAAAGGTTGCGGGTTCCACTCCTGGTCAGGGCACACACCCAGGTTGCGGGTTGGAGCCCCAGTTGGGGCGTGTGTGGGAGGCAACCGATCAACGACTCTCTCTCACGTCCATGTTTCTCTCTTTCTCTCCCTCCCCCACTTCCTCTCTAAAAAGAAATCACGAAAAAACAAAACTAGAAAAAAAAAAAAAAGATAATTTTTTAAAAAGCAAGAGAAAAAGAAATGAAACTCTTTGAGATTAGTATTTTGTTTGTTTGTTTTCCCCAAAAATATATCCCATGGTGCCGACCGGGGGTGCAGATGGTACATGACTGTGACTTCTGCCCTGCAGGGAGTGCCAGTGTGGCCAGGGCCTGGAGCTCGGCCGTCGACAGCCTGACTGGGAACCGCGTCTCCCAGGCGCTGCGGGGCAGTGTGCCTCTCCACGCGCCCCACCTGGCCAGCTACCTAGACTTCTTCTCGCTGGGCCTGGTGCTGCTGCTCACCGGTGAGGCTGGGGTCGGGGGCAGGATGGAAGAGTGGGGCGCGGAGGGGGGGCTGGGGTGCGAAAGGCTTGGTGGTGGCAAAGGGCTGGGGGATTAGAGAACAGAAAGGGGGGGTTGGTGGGAGAGACAGGAAGGCAAGATGTAGACCATTGTTTCCCACCTTGGAATGCTTGCCGTTTTGAGCTGGGTCATTTTTTGGTGTGGAGGACTGTCCTGTGCAGTAGGGTTTCATTTAAAAAAAAAAATCTTCGTAGGATATTGATGCGAGTGCCGCCCAGGCCCTCAAACGGGACAATCAGAATGTCTCCAGACACTGCCACGTGTCCATTAGGGGACAACGTCGCCTCCAGCTGAGAACTATTGACTCAGACAAACAAGGTTCTTCCTCTGTACTGAGACCAACGTTTTATTTTTATTTATTTATTTATTTTTACTTTTTAAAAAAAATATATCTTTATTGATTTCAGAGAGGGAGGAAAGGAGAGGGAGAGAGAGAGAGAAACATCAATGATGAGAGAGAGTCATTGACCGGCTGCCTCCTGCACACCCTGGACTGGGGAGGGAGCCTGTAACCCCGGCATGTGCCCTGACCGGGAATCGAACCACAATCTCCTGGTTTCTAGGTTGATGCTCAACCACTGAGCCACGCCCAGCTGGGCAAGACCAAAGTTTTAAAAAATTATTTTAATTAAAAAAAAAAAATTTGAGCCCTGGATGGTTTGGCTCGGTGGTTAGAGTGTCGGCCCCTGGACTGAAGGGTCGCGGGGTTCAGTCCAGACAAGGGCACTTACCTCGGCTGCAGGCTCGACCCCTGACCCCCGTCGGGCGCGTGCAGGAGGCAACCAATTGATGTGTCTCTCTCACATCAATGTTTCTCTCGCTCGCTCGCTCGCTCTCTCCCTCCCGCTCTCTCTGAAAAGCAATGGAAAAATATCCTTACATGAGGACAAACCCTTCCCCCCAAAATAATGAAGTGTGGTTCGGTGGCCCTTGGCGCGTTCAGTGCTGTGCAGCCATCCCCTTGCTCTCCCCCGAGAACACTGGCATCGCCCCAAAAGGAAACCCAGTGCCCGTCCAGGGTCCCTGCCATCGCCCCTGCCCCGGCGGCTGGAGACCAGCAGCCCGCTTCCGTCTCGCCCTGTCTCCCCGCAGGCCTCCTGGTTCTGGGAGCCAGGGAGTCCGCCCTGGTTTCCAAGATGTTCACGGGCCTGAGCCTCCTGGTGCTCAGCTTCGTCGGCCTCTCGGGCTTCCTTAAGGGAGACCTGCGCCACTGGCGGCTCACGGAGCAGGACTACGAGCTGGCCAAGCTGGCGTCCAACGGCACCTCCAGGTGGGCCGGGGGCCGGGCGATGGGGGCACGGAGTCGGGGGCTGCGGTCTTGACCACAGACGCACCGTCTCTCCCCACAGCCTGGGCGCCCTGGGCTCCGGGGGGTTCGTGCCTTTCGGCCTTGATGGGATCCTCCGAGGAGCAGCGACGTGCTTCTATGCATTCGTGGGCTTTGACTGCATCGCCACCGCGGGTAACAGGGCCGTGCTGCCCCGCTTGGGGTCTGGGCACCATCTGGGCTGCCCTTGGGCGCAGGGCGGGTGGAAGGCTCGCCGGCCCTCGGGGATTTCTGAGGACAGGATGCTGTGCCCTCGCCCGGGCGCGGGTCTCTGACCCGCAATGCCTCCCGGCGCGCAGGGGAGGAAGCCCGCCACCCCCAGCGAGCCATTCCCCTGGGCATCGTGCTCTCGCTCTTCGTCTGCTTCCTGGCGTATTGTGGCGTCTCGGCGGCCCTCACCCTCATGGTGCCCTACTACCAGATCCACCCCGGCAGCCCCCTGCCCCAGGCCTTCCTGCATGTTGGATGGGCCCCTGCCAGATACGTCGTGGCTGCCGGGACCCTCTGTGCTCTGTCGTCCAGGTCAGTGTGGGCAGCTCTCTCCTGTTGCCTCCCGGTTCCCAGGTATCCCGGCCGTGGATGGAGGATGGGGGGGACCCCTCGCCCCGCGGAGGCTCGGCTGCAGGCCCCCGTGCTCTTCAGAGCCTCGCACGTTCCCTTTTCTCCTGCAGCCTCGTGGGCTCCATGTTCCCCATGCCTCGGGTGATCCTGGCCATGGCAGAGGACGGGCTTCTTTTCCGGGGACTTGCCAGGATCCACCCCCGAACACGCACCCCCGTCACAGCCACCCTAGTGTCTGGGACTATCGCAGGTGAGGGACAAAGCCCGGCCCTTTTCGGGCGGATTTCCTCAGCTCGGATATTTCCGCGGCGTCTCACCCTGCCCGCCCCTTGTCTGCCCCGCGCCGCAGCACTGATGGCCTTCCTCTTCGAGCTCGAAGATCTGGTGGATCTCATGTCCATTGGGACCCTGCTTGCGTACTCCCTGGTGGCCTTTTCTGTGCTTGTCCTCAGGTGAGACCCCACTGCATCTTGAATGAGGGGTCTTGAATCAATGGGTATTTTTTTATAATGTCTTTATTGATTTTAGAGATAGAGGAAGGGGGAGAGAGAGAGAGAGAAACATTGATGTGAGAGAGAAACATCCATCAGTTGCCTCCGGTAGGCACCCCCACCAGGGACCGAACCCACAACCTGGGCATGTGCCCTGACCGGGAATCGAACTGGGGACCTTTGGGTGCATAGGACAACGCTCGACCGGCCGAGCCACACTGGCCGGGGCTGAGCCAGTGGGCACTGAAGGGGTGGCTGCTCCTGGTGGCCTTCGCGAGGCCCCGTCCGTGCACCGCTACACTCGGGTGGGGAAGAGGCTGGGCGGGTGGGCAGCGGCCGGGTGGGTGCTCCCTTCGCACCTCCGACCCAGGTACCAGCCAGACGAGAGGTCGAGCAAGAGCAAGCGAGCGGAGGTGGAGATAACCGAGGCAAAGCTTGAGCTCGAAGCAGGGCCTCCGGAGGCCGTACCGGCAGCGGGGATCGCGAGGACCCTGAGGAGCCTGCTTAACCCCGGGAGCACCGTCCCCACCCGGCAGTCCGGCCGCGCCGTCTACGGCTGCGCCCTGCTGCTAGGTGAGCGTGGGCTGTCCCCTCGGCGGTGTCCGGAGCTGGGGGGTCAGGTGGGAGTGTGTGCCTTTGGAGGGGTCGGGGACATACCGCCCCGCCGTGATGTGGGCAGTTTTGGGGGTGGGGTGTCCCCCAAGTTCTTGACACATTTGGCTTCTGAAGTTGGACCTGCTGTCCAACCCGACCCGACCTGGCCCTTGCAGCTCTTCTGCTGACCGCCCTGAGCCTGATAGTGGCCCAGTGGCCCAGCCGTCTGGTCTCTGGAGACCCAGTGCACACAACTGTGACTGGGCTGCTGCTTCTGCTAATTTTGGGGATCACAGTCATCATTTGGAGACAGCCCCAGAGCCCAACTCCTCTTCACTTCAAGGTAGGTGACTCGATGCTCCCAAACTACCTTGAGAGAATGAGCTCTGCACTCTACTCGGGAACACCCCGAGGGACACCCCGTATGAGCAGCACTGACTGCACAGCCCGGAAGGACGGGAGCCTTCCTTCCACCCAGCGGGGCCATCTTTCGAGCACCTGTGGTGCGTTCAGGGACGAGCTGACTTTGCCCACAGGTCCCTGCGTTGCCTGTCCTCCCACTGATCAGCATCTTTGTGAATATCTACTTGATGATGCAGATGACCTCTATGACCTGGGCCCAGTTTGCCATCTGGATGGTGATTGGTAAGTGGCTTTCTGGGGAAAAGAGGCCTCTTGGGTGACTGAACCCAGCCTTCTTCCTACGACTTTCCCCCCGAAACTGTCTCAGGTGCCATAACAGGAGGCCTCCTGAGCACTTGCCTTCCTCATGGTCTCATTTCCGTCCTAGGCTTTGCCATATACTTCGGATATGGGATCCGACACAGCTTGGAGAACACCAGTGATCAACAGCCACCAGCCTCAAGCTCTCAGACTCTTGACAAGAACACCTCTAGTGCGAATTAGTGTAACCACAGGAAACAGATGCTGCGTGGGCTCCTGTACGCTGCACATATCTTCTGGTTCAATGGAGACTGTGAGCCTCTATGAAGTGCGAAGGTGGGCTGCATTTAGAGCCCTGGCTCTACTGCCAGGACATGCCTTTAATGTGGTATAATTTTAATGTAAACCTTTAAAAGTATGATATACGTAACAGAAAAGTGCATGCTTTTTACGTGTGTGGGAAGATGAATTTTCACAAAGAAACGACAGGTGACCAGCCAGCAATCAGAAGAGGAGATAAAATACTATTTGCACATAGAAGAGCCCTCTTGTGCCTATTTCCAGGGAAGACAGATTGCCATACGGGCAGAAAAGACATGTTTCAACTATAAATTGTGTCAAGAGTCGCACTTTACGTTTTTAGATTTTTAATTAGAAAAGATTTTCATGCCAGGCCGGTGTGGCTCAATGGTTGAGCATCAGCGTAAGATCCAGGAGATCAAGGCTCGATTCCCGGTCAGGGCACATGCCCCAGTTGTGGGTTTGATCCCCAGCAGGGGGCGTGCAAGAGGCGGCCTATCAATGACTCATCATTGATGTTTCTATCTGTCTCCCTCTCCCTTCCTCTCTCTGAAATCAATAAAGGCATATTTAAAAAAAAAAGAAAATAAAATTTTTCACAATGACGGTTAACATTCTATATTCCATTAGTTCCAGGTATACAGCATGGCGGTTAGACATTTCTATAATTTGTGAAGCGACCCCCGACGCCGTGCATAGTTATGGCGGTGCTGTTGACTGTGTTCCCTGTGCTGTACTTTCACATCCGCGTCACAATTTTGCAACTACCAATTCGTACTTCTTAATCCCTCCACCCTTTTCACCCAGCCCCCAGTCTCCCTGCCACCGGGCTACTATCAGTTTGCTCTCTGTATCTGTGAGTTTCTGTTTTGTTCACTCGGTTATTTTCATTTTTCAGATCCCACATGTAAGCACTATCACACGGTATTTGTCCTTCTCTTGTCTGACTTATTTTACTTAGTGTAACACCCTCTGGGTCCATCCATGGCGTTGCAACATTCTTTGTGTCAAGGGCTGCACTTTAAATATTAGGACACAGGTAGGTTGGAAGTAGAAGAAAGAAAAAAAGACAGGTCATACAGACGGTAACAGCGCCCGGCTGGTGTGGCTCGGTTGGTCGGAGTGTCGCCTGGCGCAGCCAAAGGTGGCGGGTTCGATTCCCGGCCAGGGCGGGTGCGGGAGGCAACCCATCGACGTTTCTCACATTGATGTTTCTCTCACAATCAATTTAAAATAAACAAATAAAAGAAAGCTGACACAGCTGCATTAATATCGTACAAAGTAGACTTTAAGAAAAAGAATTACAGCTGATAAAGTGCATCATTTCATTCTGATAGAAATGATCATCCCCCCCAGTTTCACTGAGATATAATTGACAGGAAACATTTGTGTCAATGACCTTTTTTTTTTTTTTTTAAATTCCTCACCTGAGGATATTTCTCTATTGCTTTTCAGAGAGCGGAAGGGGTAGAGAGACACATGGGTGGGTTGCCTCCCCCGCACACCCGGGCCAGGGCTGGGGATTGAGCCTGCAACTGAGCGAGGTGCGTGCCCTTGGCCAGAATTGAACCCAGGACCCTTCAGCCCAAGGGCCGACGCTGACCACTGACCCCGACCAGCCCGGGCAATGCCCACTTTCCTTCAGGTTGCTGCCCCGACTCAGCCCTGCTGGCGCCGAGCTGAGCTCCTCACTTCAGAGCAGCAGCCTTGCTGGGGGGGAGGGGGGGGAGTGGTAGCGTGCTTGTTAAGACGGTGACAGCTGGGCGGGACGAAAAGGAAGCTAAACTGGAAAGACAAGACAGGGTGATGTCCCCGTGGGGACGGGAACTTGACTTTCAGATTTGTGGACGTGGAGGGTGGTGGTGAGAAAGCAAAGGGCTGTCAACGCTGTGGGAACGAGCCACTGCGGCAGGCGGAGAACGGAACCACCGCGGGGATGAGTCAAGAAAGCGAGGGGCCAAGTTATTAGATGACTTTAAAAAAAGGATGAAATTACAGGGTCAGAAAACATTAATTAGTGGAGACCGAAACCTGGAGTGGCAGTTGGATGGACACCACCTGATTCATCCTTCTCAGCACCCTGATGTGGGAACAGCCCCACTGGGCTATGACAGGCAACACTGCCCACAAAATACTCCCCGCCCCATTGCTTTTCAGAGAGAGCGGGAGGGAGAGAGAAACACAGATGTGAGAGAGACACATCGAGGGGTTGTTTCCCGCATGCGCCCCGACCTGGGACAGGGATGGAGCCTGGGCACGAGGTACGTGTCCTTGGCTGGAATCAAATTCGGGACCCCTCGGGCCACGGACCGACACTCTAACCACTAAGCCAAACCTGCCAGGGCCATAAGATACTTTTGAAAAGTTGAATCACAATGTAATCAAGGCTCTAGATCAGCTATCAGCTCATAGAAGACAGTAAGGGACAGTCACTTATCAACGGAAAACACCAGTCAAACCTAGACTGTGGGCAGTTCTCCAGGAAAAGGGTGTGCTGACTGTAACAGACGACACGGCCCAAACCAGAGAGTTAATAGCTGCAGGTTAAATATTCACCGAACTCGAGTCTGATGCTGACATTTGGAAGAAAAAAATCTCTTTTGCCAGAAAGAATACATGTCGTACCACTCATTTTTGTTGGGTGTGATAATGGTATTTGGGGTTGTTTTTAAAAAGTAAGATTTTGGATGCGCTTCAACATACCCCACCCCCCAAAGAAAACATCCTGTTTGAATGTGATTTAGAACCAACTGTATACAGACAATAAATGACCACTGTGAAAAATGTGGAAATGGTTAATCGTTGTAAATTGGAAAGATGTGTTCCTATATAAAGTGGTTCCAAGAGGTCACCAGCATCTCATACCGTAATGGGTATACGCCCCGCAGACATGGATTTTGGGTTTACTACAGGGGCCTCGGGGGTGACTTTGGCTCCACTGGTCTCAGTGAAGTTCTGCAGGTGAGCCAGCTTGCAGCGGGTGGGGGACTTCACAGGTGCTGGGGGAATCGGAAGAGGCAGATGACCGCTGCAAACGTGGCCTTAAGGAGTTTCCAGGATCGACTCCTGCGCCAGTGGGCCTGGGAGACTCCAGTCTGCAAACCTGGGGAAGTGCGGGGGAGACTCCCTTCCCGATGCAGACTGCACGCCGGATGCTGGTGTGGTCAGGACCCCTGCGCGCAGCCTCTGCCTAAAAACTGTTAAGGCAGCAGAGCCCAAACTCCAGGCAGAGGTCTTGCAGTTTGTGTGAAACCTGGGTCCGCCTGAGGCTAAAAGCAGCCGTAGCTCTGCAGGGGTCAGTCACTTCCCATTCTCCCACCCCACCCTCTTTGGCTACTTTGTTGGGTGTTTGTCCTCGAACCCAGTCCTAACGTAACACTCTTCTATTTCCTCCTGTCGATGACCCGTCCCTCCAGGCAGTGTCCCTGCTCCTCGGCTGTGCCCACCAGAGGCCTGCCCACTACTGCTTGTGTCCGCACAGCTCCAAGTTTCTCAATATCATCTCCACCATGCTCCCCACATTCCGCCTCCCTCCTCACACTTTCCGTTCTCTTTATGGTTGAGCATGTTTCAGGGTCCCTCCCACGCTGTTCAAATCCCCAGCTCACCCCTAACACCAAGGTGTATGTGACCCAAGGACTAACCGGCTTTAACTGAAATGTAACCCTGGCCTAGAGGTACACCAAACGTAAACCCTGCTTCAACCCGATTCTGGATCCTTGGTCGGCCTTTATTGTGTTAACTTTTCCAGTTTCGGCTGGAATTCACCATTATGTTAGTTTCAGGTGTGTGCCAGCCTTTACAGCCCACTCCTCTGGGCCGAGGCCACACCCCCTCCCGCCCACAGGTTCTCCCACAGCTTAGAGCCCACCCTCGCCCCAGGCTAGGCTCCCAGCTCGGGTCCTCCAGCTACTCCCCGACTCTCCTCCAGCTCCCAGGACCCGCCCAGAGAGCCAGCCTTTCCTTCCTCAGGCTCTCAGCCTACCAGCCCCTCCCCTGGCTCTTCAAACTCACTCCCTAGTCCCAGCCCTCCCCACCTGTGTTTTCAGATTCCCACCTGGGGCTCTAGTTCCTTCCCCAGCCTAAACCACTCCCTTCGCTCGAGGGCTGACACCTAGGATCGCTCAGGTCCAACTGCTCTCCGGGACTGTACTCCAGGCCCTGGACCCTACCTCAGGACACGTCCACTCCCTTGCCCTGAGCGTCGCCTCCATGTCCCAGCTGTGGGACCTCCAGGATGTGGAAGGGGTACAACGTGCTGGCTCAGTTCCTTCCTGAACAAGATATGTTAGAGTACCCAAGAGACCGGCCCATGCAGTTTTGATTTCAGCCGTCTGTTAGCCGTCTAGTGACACACAGAGCAGTTTACTTGGCATTTCCTTGATGGGAAACGACACTGAACACAATTTCACTTACTTACTGGCCACCTGGTGATCTTCTCTTGTGCCGGTTATTGAAGTCCTCCCTGTACTCTTTATTATTTTTATTTAAGTTTTTTTTTTTTAATTTATTGATTAGAGAGAGAAACATGGATTTGTTACATGTATTCATTCATTGGTTGATTCTTGTATGTGCCCTGACCAGGGACTGAACCTGCAACCTTCGGGGAGCAGGATGACATTCTAACCAACAGAGCTCTACCCGGCCAGGGCTGATTTGTCTGGTCACTGGCTTGGGGCATTCTTTATATTTTCCACGTGAGTCCTTTGTCAGGTGTAGGTAACTGTCTCCTCCAGTCTGTGTCTTGCCTTTTCACTTCCTTCATGGTGCCACCGATGAATGGAACTTTGTACTTTTGATGAAGTTCAACTTACTAACCTTATTTTACATTTAGTGTCTTTCATGTCCTAAGAAACACTATGGGCCCCAAGGTTGTGAAAACTGTATTTTCTTGTAGAAGTTTGATAGTCTTGTCTGAACTGTCACCCCCACAGGGGATCTTCTTGTAATAATTCATTAGTAGCAACACTGACGGGAATGATACAGAAACAGCAACAGCTACCATTTATTGAGAGCTTACGCAATATCCCAGATACACTTTCAAGGCGTTTACATGTACGAACTTGTTTAATCACCACAACAGCAGTACTAGGTAGTTATCCTCACAAATAATGCACAGGGGTAAAAGCTAATTTTCCCAGTCTCACAGGGAGTCAGGAGGTGGGATGATGGTGGTGGTGATGGCCCGGAGGGAATGTGCCACGATGAAAGGCTTTTGCACGTATGTTGCATTAGCAGGTACTCCCCAGGACGGATCTCAACTGAGACTGAAAGGTGCTGGACACCTTCTATGCATCCATCAAACCAACCCACTCAGTAAAAAAGTTGCCTATACTGAGTATGTTGTAATCATGGAGGGAAGATGGTTTCTCTAGTCTCCAAATTTGCTTCTAACCTGACTATCCTGATACTTTATAAGGAGTGACCAGCGAACAGTTTATGTTAAATCACATCATGAATTTTCCTCATGTGAAAGAAATGAATGCTGTTTAGAGGCCTCCGAACATTCTTTGTATTCAGGTTTGTCAGCAGTGTGAATTCTCAGGTCCTCTAAAATGGTTCACGTAGTCACAGGCCTTTCCACAGTCCTTACACTCATGATGTGGGTTTTCACATGCTGTGTAAGTTGATGACTGTGGCTAAAGGCTTTCCCACATTCTTTACAGTCATAGGGTTTTTCCCCTGTATGAATTCTCTCATGTTTCATGAGGCTTGACCCATAAATAAAGGCCTTTCCGCATTCCCTACATTTATAAGGCGTTTCACCAGTGTGAATTCTCTCATGCTGCGTAAGGTGATAGCTACAATTAAAGGCCTTCCCACATTCTGTGCATTTATATGGCTTTTCACCAGTATGGATTCTCTCGTGTTTAACAAGGCTCGAACCCCAACGAAAGGCCTTCCCACACTCCTTGCACTCATGAGGCTTCTCACCAGTGTGAATTTTCTGATGCTGAGTAAGGTAATTTACGCGCGTAAAGGCCTTCCCACATTCTTGACATTCAAAGGGCTTCTCACCCGTATGAATTCTTTTATGTTGAGCAAGGCTCGAACCACAGATAAAGGCCTTCCCACAGTCTTTACATTCAAAGGGCTTATCGCCACTGTGAATTCTCTTGTGCTGAATTAGTTTATACAGGCGGCTGAAGGTCTTCCCACAGTCTTTGCATTCATAGTCTTTCTCACCAGTGTGAAACCTCTGATGCTGAGTGAGCTCGTCCCCACGTCGAAAGGCCTTCCCACAGTCTTTACACTCGTACGGCTTCTCGCCCGTATGAATCCTCCTGTGGATAACGAGGCTCGAACCCCAGCGAAAGGCCTTCCCACAGTACTTACACTCGTAAGGTTTCTCACCAGAGTGAATTTTCTGATGCTGAGAAAGCTGATTACCCCAACGAAAGGCCTTTTTACATTCTTTACACTCATAGGGCTTCTCACCAGTGTGAATTTTCTGATGTTGAGCAAGTTGGTAGCCACGACTAAAGGCCTTCCCACATTCCTTACAGTCATAGGAATCCTCCCTATTATGAAGTCTCTGATGTGATCTCACAGAGGTATTTCTGCGACCAGCGGGCTTTCTCACAGAGCTGATTTTCACTTGGTTGATACTCCCCTCTGGAGGGCCCTGCGCTCCTTCCGACTCACCTTCGCACACCCAGTCAAGGCCAAGGGGCTTCCTTTTCTCAGCTGAGTTCCTTTTGGAAAAACGTTTCTCACAAATGCCCTTTTTTGTAGGTAAATTCTTGGTTTCATATGGTGACTCCAAGTCTAGAAGAAAAGAGAGCACCACGTTTGTTTCCTTTTAGGGAAACAAAGCAAATAAACAGGCCTAACTACAAACCGAAAGCTTCTCCCGCAGAGTAAACATGAACCAACCAGACCCGAGTTGGAATGTACAGTCCACGTCTGCTCCCACAACGTTACTGGCGAACACTGAGGCCTGGCTGTCAGCCCACCCATTTCCTGTCAGCTGACACGATCAAGCAAAAGACATTAGAGGGGAAACTCTCAAAATGAAGATGAAAAAGGGTAGTTTGTAGGCATTGTGATGACATACCTGGGGAGCCCAGGAAAATCAAATTACAACCACCTGAAAGTAAAAAATCACAGAGACTTCAAAAAAGAGAAAGAAGTAGAGAGCAAACACGTGGACCGGACAGGGAAGGAACAGGTCTTATTTTAAACTTTTGAAGGCCTCCTCCCTGGAGGAGAAGAACATGGCAGCTGACAGTACAGACTCTGGGCCGGAATTCTCACGTTCGGCTCCTGTTCCGACTCCTCCGGCGACCACGTCCTCTCGCCCCAGGGAACTCATCTACAAGTCAGGCTCAATCATCGTGCCTATCTCACAAGCTTGTGAGAATGACATGAAATGTATTTATACACACACTCACACACAGTGCCTACAACAGTGCCTGGTGTACAGCAAACACAATATCAGCCATAAATATTATGGTTGTTATTTCACTAACAGAAAAATAAGACATTTCCCGAGACAATTACAAGACACTATAGTCTAATGTTTAACTCAAAGTTCATGGATTTATAACTTTCAGCCTCACTTCAGGCACGTGTGTCAGAAGTGAAATATGCTCAGTTTGGCTTTACGTGAATTCTGTTTGCTCAATCCACCTCTACAGAGAAATCAAGTCGCTCCAGAGCACAGGCAATTTGGGTATAAACATTAATATCACAGTATGAAGCTTGGTTTCCTTGAAGATGGTTGTGAAATGAATGTTCCAGAATTCTAATTCATCCTTTGCTCATGAAGAGAGCAGGAACTACGGGAAGGGCCAGATGAAGGTGGGAAGATCACTGATGGATGACAAGAGGAAGGTGTGTGATGCCCCCTTTCCAACTCGATAAAGCTCAACAAGCATTCCCTGGGAACAGGAAGAAAACTCAACTTGTTTCTTGAAAGACAGTCCTAAAATCCACAGTGGAGGGGGCCAACACTCGGGGAGCAGAGGCTAAGCTACACGATGCAGGCAACTTACCCAGTGAGACCAAGTTACTATAGTTCTCCAACATCACCTCCCAGTACAGGTCCCTCTGCGTCGAGTCCAGGCAGGCCCACTCCTCCTGAGAGAAGTTGATGGCCACATCTGAGAACGTCACCATACCCTGAGAACACAAACCCACATGTCCCTGATGAAACAGAAGGGCACAGTTTCACGATGAAGGACAGGAGAGGAAGGGCTATGCTCTGGGTAGAGTGGATACAGCACGCACACTGGAAGCCTGGGATATGGCTGTGCCAAGCAGAATCCCTCATGTTCCTGCAGAGAACACCGGCTACACTGTGGAATTCTTAGGCACACCAACCTGTCGGAGCAGGGATAAAACAGTCCGAGGTTCCCTCCCATTGCCTCGCACAGAGCTCGCCACATGCCTACCTCACATCCTCACATCCTCACATCCTCAGCAGGGGTGGACTGCTAGAGCATCCTTTGCCATTTGAGGGGAAAGAAAAGAACTCCTCCGGTTTTGTTTTGGAAATGTAACATACGATCTTTTATCTTTGAAAACAGGGCTGGCATATTTGAGTGTTTTCAAGCCTCCAGTTCACCATTTTGCCAGGTTACCTTTTAAGCAGCCTTCCTTTGTAATGACAAAAACATTAAAAAAATTCCATTATAATAATTAAGTCTAATCCACCCGTGACGATGTGGATTAGACTTAATTATTATAATTAGACACTTAGGTTGGACAAAACGACTAAGGTTCTCCCCAGTTCTTGGGAGCATGTGGTCATCTATTCCACCATGCCGGACGCTCTTACCTGTGACCACCACCACCCCTGCCTGTCCTTTGTTCCTGATTGACAGGATACTGGTAGCAAGTGATGCAGAAGCACAGAGGTCTGGCAGTTCTGTTCAACAACAAAAGTGACCTCTCGGGTTCCTGGCAAGAGCAGGATCGCTGCTGAGTCCGCAGGCCTCAATCACAGCCCTACCGGATTCTAACAGCCTCATAAAGCTTGGGCTGTCACCACACACTAATCCTGGGACCAACAAGTATGAACACTCCCTCTTATCTGACTGGAAGCAACATCAGTGGAGAATCTTCATTTTCTCCTGTGCTCAAATGGGTCCAACATCTCCAACTAATCAAACCACGGACCCAACTAAAATCTTTCAAGAGACTTTCTCTCTCCATTGCTCCAACATTCCTGTTGACAAAAAACTGAGCACGAAACTGAATAATTAGCTCCATATTAGTGAACATGGGCCACAAAGGCAGGCATGGTGTCAGTCACCATTCATCGGGACGGGGAGAACTGGGCAGGTCATCAGATGGGGCTCACTTGGGCAGGAGGCTTCGGGGTAATTCACAAAAACAGCCACAGGACGGGAACATCACATTGCAAGAAGGAAAGAGAAATACACACTTACGTGGGCCATAGCTTTAGAATGAAGAACTGAAGAGTTGTCTAGGGGTTTCCTTCACCGAAGATACAGAGTCCAGAGAAACCAGAGCTGGACGAAGAGACAGAGGCATTGAAGTCAGTGCACCGTGGTCCCCAAAGTGACATCATACAACCTTTTTGCTCCTCCATCTTTGCTTCCAAAGAGCCCCCAGCTCAATCCCCAACACCCCCACACAGACAATGCACATCAGGAAAAAAACAAGCGCTCCCGCGAACTCTAGGAAACCCAGTGGCACAGAGTGGAACAGAGGAGTTTTATTTATATTTTGCCTTGAATTCAGACCCAGACATTTTAGCAAGAGGATTTCTAGCCAGCTCCCTGTTAGGGGTTAAGTATTAAGAATTTGGCCTTGACCAAAGAGAAGTCTGGCCTTTGTCCTCAGCGTCTGAGAAGTAATCTGCATCATACTTGATAGGAAGGTCCTTGTTTTGGGTACCAGCTGGCCATACTACATCCTAGGATGGGGCTGGCCATACCCAAGAGTCTTTGGGTGGAACTGGCTACACCCAACAGTCTTAGAGTGGGAGCTCTTCACTCTAGAAGGATCAACCACGTGATTTGGGATGGGGATTTTGGGTCATGGGGTATCAGTTGAACTGGAGACTGAGGTTAACATCTGAGCAAAGAATCAATCAATCATGTCTATATTGGTGCTCTGGTACGTTTCCCTGGCTGGCAATGCGCTGTGTGTAGTCATTTGTTGATGCCAGCAGGGTAACAAGTCCTGGCTCCTTGGGGAGAAGACAATGGAAGCTCATGTTGTGAACGCCCCTGGACCTCGCTTTATGCGCCTCTTTCCTTGGCTGATGCTAATCTGTACCCTTTCCCTGTAATAACCATACCCTTGAGTAGAATATCTTCCAGTGAGTTCTAGGAGTCCTTCTAGTCCTGAATCATTGATCCTGAGGCTGGTTTCAGGAAACTGAAGGTGGTCTTGGGTGAAGACTGCCCCCTTAAACCTCTAACTCTGCGCAGGGGGACTGTGATCTGGACCTGAGTGGGTGTGTTTAGGGTGCTCAGCCTCATTCTGAGTCCATCCTGCTCCTTCCAGTCACACAGTTCAGGGTGAGGAAGGGCTGCATCATCCAAACTCGAGTCTCTTCGGGCCTCTAGATAGGGTGATGTGGGTCAGGACATGGCAGGTGGACAGGAAGGAGAAGGAAATGCCCAGGCAGCCTCAGCACTCCGCGTCCAGAAGAGCTGACTGCGTAAAAACATGCAGACTATCAATGCGGAACATTGATGTTAGTGGTTATTCAGTGCTAAGTTGGAAGAAATACTTAGACATGAAGAATATTTCAGACACATCGTCAGTCGGAAAATCAGGCTAGTAAAACAAGAGGATACATTACAGTTGTAAAATTCTATATATGAACATATATACACACACACACAGACAAACACATAGACACTGATACATCATAAGACATCAACAGAAAGGGAAACAGAAAAATAAAAATAGAAGAGAACATCCTGGAAAATTACATATCCCTTGCACAGAAAAGAGTTAACATAGCGGGTCTGAACCTGCTTGCAAGATTAGTCCTTGGCTGGACTTCCAGCATTCCCCCCATTCCCTAACTGATAACCGTGGCTCACGCTCCTGGAATTTTTGTATGTGTCAGGCAGACGGTGCCTATGTGACTGATGCGGCATAAAAACCTTGTGCTCCCTGGCTGTGAGTTTCCCAATAAACACTGTGTGTCGTTGGAACTTGATGGCGGAGGGCTTAAGCACGTGCTGTGTGACTGCACTTGGAAGCTTGCGCCTGGTTTCTTCCAGCGTTTCCTGTGTGCCTTCCCCTCTGGTGACTTTGCCCTGAACCTTTTCACTATAATAAATCTTAGCTATGGGTAGGGTGATGGGTTGAACCCTGAGTCCATCTAGAGAGAATCACTGAACCTGGCGGTGGCTTTGGGGACCCCGGCACACCCTTTGATCTTGAGTTTTTTTAAAAAAATATATCTTTATTGATTTCAGAGAGAGGAAGGGAGAGGGGGAGAGAAACATCAATGATGAGAGCGCCATTGATTGGCTGCCTCCTGCATACCAACTGGGAATTGAGCCCGCAAGCTGGGCATGTGCCCTGATGGAGAATCGAACCTGGTCTCCTAGGTCCCAGGTCTATGCTCAATCGCTCAGCCACACCAGCTGGCCCTGAGTTTCTTCTTTTTGTATAAGTATACCTCACTGGGTATTTACAACCACGCACTGGCTTGACATATAAACGTGTGCATTTATTTCTTTTAAATTTATTAAGGGGAACTTAGACTCTCAAAAGATAAAAACAAAGTTTCATCTTGAACTTGCAGAAAAAGCTCAGATCATTTTTGGATTATTTTACTAAGTAACTTTTCCTTATTTCCTTTCACTTCCTAAACCAACTCTTTGATGTCTACCTATGCCCACATATGTTGGAGTCGTGAATGGACACAATGACCAAAATTCCAAAGGATGTCTTAGATGCTGGCGCTTGTCTCGATGCTGCTTGGTTTTATGTCCTGACGGGTGGGTGAATTGTACTTCTGAACTTGTCCTTTTAGCCATGGTGTCCTGCAGACAACTGCTAAATCAACTGACCCTGTTAGTCTTCACTTTGCACCAAACATTAGAAAAAATATGTAAGGTATGAAACTTACAAAATAAATTCTATTTATTTCTGCAAAGAGCCTGCACATTCAGGATTGTTTGGTCATGGCCTGACGTGAGTGGTTACAGTGAGAACGATGCCATTCCTAGCACCTGTCAGGGCATATCACCTGCAATTCGCCACAGGCATAGACCACAGGCTGCCTCCTGCTTCTTCCATTCAGTTACCTTTCCTCGCCAGATTATAAGCAATGGACAGGTAACGGTGTCCCTTCAGTGATTCTAGTACTAATACCACAGGGTCAGGCACATAACAGGCACTTAACAGAAGTATGATTTTGACTCAAAATTCCACTTTCTGGAATGTATCCCAAGGAAGAAGCTATAATAGTTCACATATATAGGGTTCCCCCCCAAAATGTATACACACACTTTGAATAATTGTAAAGGCAGCATTTATTAAAATACATTTCATTTTTAAAATTGAGCTATCAGCTGTTCAAGTGTGTATACATTTTTTGGGGACACCCTATATATACACAAGAATGTTCAGAGAAATTTTTTACGGTACAGTTTTTTTATTGAAGTAATTGTAGATTCATGTGCAGTTATAAGGAATAATACGAAGGGATCCTGCACACCCTTCCCCAGCGCACCCCAATGGAACACCGTAGCAAAGGTACAGCACAACATCACAACCAGGACGTTGAGACTGACATGATCCATCAATTTTATTGCTTTTCCAGAGAATTATTTATTTTATTTTATTTTAATTGTTGAAAGTATCTGAGAATTCTTTAAAAAAAAATGAAAAAGTAGAAATAGAAATATCTCACAGTAGAGGACAGATTAAATAAATTAAGGTTTGCTATAATGGCATATGTTTATTAATAATGATACTGACTTAAGTTGATAAAGGAATTTAAGACAAATCACCAAGCCATGAAGATCGGTTTTAAAAGGTATGTATAACGTGGGAGGTGAAATTAAGAATACAGGCTCGTGGTCTGACTTTCAGGATTTGAATCTGAGCTCTAACAGTTGCTAACCTCAGAGTGTCTGTTCCCCTACAGGTAAGACGGGGGTAAAAATAGTACCTACTAGGTATGACTGTCTCAACTATTAAGAAGAGAACCTACATAAAGCACAATAATATGTAACAATTATGCAATACATGTTAGCTGCCATTTCTGAAGATCAATAATGTCACACACCCCTCGACTCATTTTTATAAAAGAAACTCAATCCTGTTGCGTCCCCAAAATATGCGATTCTCACACCTGCTGTCTATATAATCCATGCTAACTAAAAACTTTCAGAGTCTCTTAAGAATGAAATTCGTTTTAATTAACAATATTAGAAGAAGAAAAAAAGATTCTGAGTCAGGTAAGAAGGAAAGGTTCCCTCCCCACCAGCAAAAAGAGGGACACTCATGATCCTGCATCAAAAATTCAGCTGAAACGATGCCAAATTGAGAACATTAGATACCAAATTAAGAACATTACCGAGAGCCTGAATCTTGTCTTCTGTGGGATATGGAAGATTTATGTGAACATTTTTAACTACCGTCATCTTATACTTTTTTCTCATATCTGCCCCTGGAAATGTCACTTCTTCAGTCCATATCTGTAATGTGTCAGTGATCACTGTCATTGTCTGTGAAAGAAATACTAAAAGCCTAGAAAGTCTGATTTTGAAAGTCTTTCTTTCTTGATTTGTAGCCATGGGATCAATTTCAACTGATGTATCTCCTATCCTATAAGGGGTAAATATATGGGAAATTTTTTCAAAGCAAGAAGGGGATCATAGGCACACCTCTCCCCTCCCCACAAGCAGACAGGCATAACATGACCCATGGATCCCTTTTACAAACTAAGGCCTGAAGAGTCTGGCTTATTTACATGATCAATTAGCAGAATTCAATGCTCTAGAAACAAAACCATACACACATGCTTAGAGCAGGAGGGGAGGACTGGAAACATGCACACTGTAATATCAATAGTCATTAGCTCTAGACCGTATCGTCACAGGTAAGTAATTTCAGTTTCTTCTTTATGAGCTCCTTAGGAAATTGAATTTTTTTTGCAGCAGGCCTGCATTAATCCAATTTAAAAAAATATAACCTAAGGCAGTCCCAAATTAAAAGGCCCCCCACAGTTATGGGGGTTGAGTGTGATATTGTAGTCATTACGGGAAAGTTGAATGAGTAGGCCTGTGGTAGACAGAACAGCTGTCTCCCAAGATGCCCATGTCCTAATTCTGGAAACTGTGAAAATGTTTCATTACATAGCAAAGGGGAGTTAGGTTGCAGATGGACTTAAACTCACTAATCAGCTGACCCTAATATAAAGAGATTATCCAGAATTATACAGGTGGGTCCAATGTAATTGAAAAAGTAGATGAGGGGTGTCAGAAGGAGAGAGGGAAAGATCTGAAGACAGAAGCAAGGTCAGAGGGCTGTGACCTGAGAGGGCTTGTCTTTGCTGGCTTTGAAGATGGAGGAATGGGCTGCAATTCCGGGAACGCGCGGGCAGCCTTTGGAAACTGCAAAAGGCAGGAAAAGAGTGCCCCCTAGAGTCTCTGAAAAGGAACGCAGCCCTGCTAACTGGTTTTGCCCGGTGAGACACCATTTTGGATTTCTGACCTCTAGGACTGTTAAGATAACAAATCTGTGCTGTTTTAAGGCACTAAATCTGTGGCAATATGTTACAGCAGCAAAAGGAAACTGTTACAAGGCCCCCCAGTACTGAAAAAACAGGTGACAAACCAATATCACCTCCCTGATCTTGAACAAAGGCCTTTCCCTGTGTCTCAGAAATACTATCAGGCCCTGAGTACAATAATAGGGGAGAACATCCTGCAAAATACCTGACCAGTACCTCTTAAAACTGTCAAGGTCATCAGAAACAAGGAAAATCTGGGAAACTGTCACAGCCAAGAGGAGCCTAAAGAAACACGACAACGAATTGTAACGTGGTCTCCTTAATGGGATCCTGGAACAGATGAAGATGATGTAAAAACTAAGGGAAATAAATAAAGCATGGACTTTAGTTCATGGTAATGTATAAAAGCTGGCTTATCCGTCACAACTAATGTCCCATACTAATGTAACTTGGTAATACTGGGGAAACTGGGGGCAGGGTACCAGGGAATTCTCTGTATTAAAAATCCTTTGGAATTTTTCTATAAATTGAAAACCATTCCAAAAAAATAAAATCTATTGAAAAAGAACACGAAACAGCTATATGTAGCCCACAAAACATAAAATACTTAATATATGACCCCCTATGGAAAAAGTTGACCAACCTGGGCTCTAGATCCAAAACTCATATCCAGTATCCATTGCTTTTCACAGTTCATACAAGATGCAACTAAATAAGCTTAAACTGCCAGTCAGACCTCAAAGAAGACCTGGCTAATACGACTGAAAAAAATCCCTGCCTTTATGACAAAGACCTTTGCTCGAACCCCAACTCTCAAAAGCCTCACAAGGCTGTTTACTTTGTCATTTACTGACTAAAACAATCAAACCTTCTCCTTTTTGTGCTCCGAAAGTCAGGCCTGTGAAAAGACTGAAGATGTCTAGTGTCTGATTCCACCTAAGGACGAATAGCCTCCTTCCCACATCACACTCTATAATAAATCGCAAACACTCACCTCCCAGTAGTATTCTACACCATCAGATTCTTAGAAAAAAGCACACAGGAGGGTGTGAACAACTGGCCAAAAGAACAGGTGAATGCTCACCAGAGAGGGTGGGTCAGTGGGGAGTACACTGGGGACTACACCTGCACAGCCCTGTCACACTTCTTGGGAAGGAATTACTGGGATAGGTCACTGTTAGGGGGGACATTTCGGGCCAAGGAAAGCAAATATTCTTAAGCCCTATAACCAAATCACTTTCTGAACAACAGCAAAACTCATCTGAACCTTGATTTTAAGATGTGCAATGATTCTTCTCCCTCCTGGGGATGCGATTTTTTCTGGAGAATCTGGCCTGGGGGAGAGAGAAGGAAAGAATGAGACACCAGGTCCTTTCTGGAGCACAGGCCACATCAGAACATACCTTCCCAGGCCACACGGGTCCCCATGTCACATCTACAACCAACCAGAAACAAGGGGGAACTCGAACCTGAGTATTTCAGAGATTCCTGGGGACCAGGCTGTAATGACCCAGGTTTTGTCACTATATAGCCGTTCACTCCCCCGCACCTGCCAAGTCAGGGACCTCGCCCCTGCAAGAGAGCAACCTTATTCCGGAGGCCTTTCCCTCCTGTCACTCGAGTAGTCTCTATGGAGAGCACTTTAAGGTCTAAAATTGTCATCTCAGGACCACAGTCCTTCTTGCTGGTCATTCCCATTTCATACAGGGTTCAGGCTCTGACTCCCCCTTGGGCCACTGCGCCTAGGCAGCAGGTACCACATGGCTGGAGGGTGAAGGCAGAGGGGCAGCAGCGAAATCACAGCTACAGGTGTCCCCCCCTCCCCATGGCCCCGCCTCCGGGGCTCGCTCAATACCGCCGCTGTCTCAGCCAAACAATCGCACTGTCAGGAGAATCACCTCGGTCCTGTCACACCCACGGACACTCACGTCAGAGTCACCGTGCGGGGCCCTGACCACCCACAGAGGAGAAAAGGCACGTCCCGTAGCCATGGAGACGCGTCCTGGCCCTGCCACCCCGGCGAAGCCCACACGCAGGTAACTCACACAGCAGAGTCCCCGAGTCACACACAGCCCGGCCGCGTGGCCCCCCCACAATCACGCGCAAGTGCGTCATAGCCACGGAGATGGGGGTCCAGCCGCGTCCCCCCACAGACGCTCCCACGCGCGCGTGTCACAGCCACGGGGACGGGGCCCGCCGAGTCACCCCCACACACAATCACGCACAAGTGCGTCACGGCCGCGGGGACAGGGCCTGTCACCCTCACCGACGCTCCCGCGCACCTCAGCCCCGGGGGCGCGGCCCGGTCCTGACACCGACACACACGCGCGCACTTCTCTCCGCAGCCGCTCCCGCAGCTACGGGCCGAGGCCGCTTCAGGCCTCCCCGCCCGGGGCGTCTCGCTCACCGCCACCCCCCGCCGCATCCCGCGCCGGTTTCCTCCGGCGACGCTAACAACTTACCGCTCGGGGCCGAACGATCAACCGGGCGTCGGGAGAGGGCGCAATGGGTTAAGGGTAACTTCTGGCGGCGTCCTGGGAAGCCGGCGCCTAAAAACCCCGTGCGTCAGACGCGCGTCTCCCGGCCCGCACCGCGGGGCGCTCCTAACGACGCCTGCCCCAGAGGCCTCTGGGAAATGTAGTCCACAATCCAGGCACCCGCGGAGGTGGAAGCGGCTCAGGTCCCAGCATGCAACTCTACAAGGCCCGAAGGAGCTTTGCCGCAGAGACTTCTGGGAAACGCAGTTCCTGTCCCGGTAGCCCTCGGGGCTGGAAGCCGGGCCTACAGAAAGCATCCTGCCTCGCCCTCTAAAGAACCTCTGCGCCCCAGAATCCGCCGGGGGGCGGTTGGTGGTGGGGGTGGAACGGCGGACGGAGCGGCAGAATCTGCACATGCCGGGAGCCCTGCCCGCCGTTCAGGTTTCTCCAGCGCGAAATTCCCCACTGCTCAGGGCAAAGGGCCAACTCCTGGGAAATGAAGTTGTGCCAGGGAAGGAGTCCCCAAAAGAAAAGGTGGGAGTCCTGCGCTGTTGCTTCCCACGCGCATTTCGGACCCTTTCACAGGAGTAGCCAGATAGCAATCTGGGATATTACTTTGTACTTGAAAAACATGGGTTTGAACTGCGCGGGTCCGCTTATCCGTGGGTTTTGCTTTTTTGCTTCCAGGGATTCAACCAACCAATTTGGATCTGGTTGGGAATTCGAGATGCAAAGATCTGACCGCATGCATTATACTATCCCCTTTTATATGAGGGCCTTGAGGACTTGAGCATCCATGGATTGTGGTATCCTCAGAGGTCCTGCAACCAATTCCCCACGGATGTCCAGGGCTGGCTGTAGTTTTAGTTTTTT